TAACCAAGTTGGCCAATGGCAACATTCACACTTGCCTCCAACTGATGGTCCATGGTAACTCCCAGATATAATCATCATCATCATCATCATCACCATCATCTTTATTTATACCCTGCCACCATCTCCCCAAGGGGACTCAGGGCGGCTCACATGCTCCAGTGGGATTCCTTCCCCAGGTAATCCTCAGAGCTCAAGACGCTGGTCTTTCATACACATCTGCATTTTAGACTGATTAGGAATCAGCTGTTTTTCCCTGTAATATGCAGTGAGAGCACCTAAAGCTACAGAGAGCGTTTCAAAGCTCCCTGCTTGGGCAGTGATGGCACTATCATCAGCGTAGATGAAATTCTCTGTCCCTTATGGCAGAACAGTAAATAAAGAACAACACTAAAAAAAAAGGGGGAATTTCAGAGAGGAAACAATGAGGGCCAGCTAACACCTCCCAACAAAGTATTCCCCCGGGCAGGAAGCAGCCAGGCTTTGAGGCTGCAAGGCTATTCAGGTGGCCAATTGCAACATTGACACTTGCCTCAAACAGACAAGAGCTCATTCTCCCACCTTGGACATGATTAGGAAACAATCAGGGTCAGCTAACACCTCCCAACACAGTATTCCCTCTGGGCAGGAAGCAGCCAGGCTTTGAGGCTGCAAAGCTATTCAGGTGGCCAATTGCAACATTCACACTTGCCTCAAACAGACAAGAGCTCTTTCTGCCACCTTGGACATGATTAGGAAACAATCAGGGTCAGCTAACACCTCCCAACACAGTATTCCCCCTGGGCAGGAAGCAGCCAGGCTTTGAGGCTGCAAAGCTATTCAGGTGGCCAATTGCAACATTCACACTTGCCTCAAACAGACAAGAGCTCTTTCTGCCACATTGGACATGATTAGGAAACAATCAGGGTCAGCTAACACCTCCCAACACAGTATTCCCTCTGGGCAGGAAGCAGCCAGGCTTTGAGGCTGCAAGGCTATTCAGGTGGCCAATTGCAACATTCACACTTGCCTCAAACAGACAAGAGCTCTTTCTCCCACCTTGGACATGATTAGGAAACAATCAGGGTCAGCTAACACCTCCCAACACAGTATTCCCCCTGGCAGGAAACAGCCAGGCTTTGAGGCTTCAATGCTAATCAAGGTGGCAAACTGCAATGTTTACACTTGCCTCCAACAGACAAGAGTTCTTTCTCCCAACCTGGACATCATTCCACAGATATATATACACACACAAACAGCACTTGCCTAGTTTTCAACAGAGCTCACAACCTCTGAGGATGCCTGCCATAGGTGTGGATGAAAGGACAGTAAATAAAGAACCACACTCAGAAAATGGGAATTCCAGACAGGAAATAATCAGGGCCAGCTAACACCTCCCAACAAAGGATTCCCCTGGCAGGAAGCAGCCATGCTTTGAAGCTGCAAGGCCATTCATTGCAAATCAAGGTGGCCAATTGCAACATTCACACTTGCCTCAAACAAAAGTTTTTTCTCCCATCTTGGACATTCCACAGATATATATATAATTCCACACACACACACACACACACACACATATATATAAATAATTACACACACACACACACACACATATATATATATGAACATGGAATGACGGATTATGAGATTGGATCTTGATTGTGCCGATGGGACGCTGGTGAGATGTTGTAGTTGTGTTTCACTGATTGTTTATTGTGTCATTGTTTTTAACTGTCTTTTTTACTCTTTTTGTGATGTTGAGCATTGAATTTTGCTATTGTTGACCACTTTGGGTCACCCGGGGGCTGAGAAAGGCGGTATATAAATGAAGTTTAATAATAATAATAATAATAATAATAATAATAATAATAATAATAATAAATATAACCCCCTCTTGCCTAGTTTCCAACAGACCTTACAACCTCTGAGGATGCCTGCCATAGATGTGGGTGAAACGTCTGGGGAGAATGCTTCTGGAGCATGGCCAGACAGCCCTAAAACTCACATCAACCCAATACTATATTTCTTCCATTCTTAAGATGCCAATAAAAATTAAAATATTTAAATATTTTTAAAATCTCTCTTAAAACTGGGTGCATCTTAGTGTCACAGGTGTATCTGATTGTTGATGTTGGTACTGGGTTGTTGTAGGTTTTTTTGGGCTGTACGGCCATGATCTAGAGGCATTCTCTCCTGATGTTTCACCTGCATCTATGGCAAGCATACTCAGAGGTAGTGAGATCTGTTGGAAGTAGGAAAATGGATTTATATTGGTTGGTACTGCTTACCTGTCCGAACATATCTCTCCTTATGAACCATCTTAAGATCGTCTGAGGAGGCCCTACTCTCGGTCCCACCTTCTTCGCAGGTGTGTTTGGCGGGGACGAGAGACAGGGCCTTCTCAGTGGTGGCCCCTTGGCTGTGGATATTAGATCGGCCCCCTCCCTCCTAACATTTCGTAAAAAAAGTTAAAACCCGAGCAAGCATTTGCTAATCCAGTGTAACAGGCAAATATGAGCTCTATGGGACGACCTTGACGGGGACGAGAGACAGGGCCTTCTCGGTGGTGGCCCCTTGGCTGTGGATATTAGATCAGCCCTTTCCCTCCTAACATTTTTTTTAAAAGTTAAAACCTGAGCAAGCATTTGCAAATCCAGTGTAACAGGCAAATATTAGATCTATGGGACGACCTTGGCGGGGACGAGAGACAGGGCCTTCTCGGTGGTGGCCCCTCAGCTGTGGATATTAGATCGGCTCCCTCCCTCCTAACATTTCATAAAAAAAGTTAAAACCTGAGCAAGCATTTGCAAATCCAGTGTAACAGGAACGATTGGACGACGTGAATTGGAAAATGATTTTAGTAAAGGAGAAACTCAGAATTTATTAGTTTTTATATTATTTGCTAAATGTTTTTAAATTATATTTTACGTTGTCGGGGGGCATCGAACTGTGCCAACTGTAAAGCGCCTTGAGTCGCCTTCAGGTACGATACGATACGGTAAATAAATCAATAATAAATCAATAATATTGGTAAATAATCAATCAATCAATAAATAATACTGATATTAGAGTGCGTCTTACAATGGAGGACATACGTCATTAGCAATATTCATTACACTACGTAACACAATTTTTCGTTCCTTATAAATGTCATTTCCTGATCGTAAAAACGTGGAAAAGGTTTATTAAACGACAACAATTTGGTTTCTGCAAGAAGGAGGACATCCACAACATGTTTTGCTCTATTTCGGTGGTTCCCAGCTTGTGGTCCGTGGACCATCAGTGGTCGGCAAGAACTAAAATATAGTCCAAGGCCTACACTGTTGCAACAAGAGAGACTGGTCACACACACACACAAAAAGACCATTTGATACACAATATTTTGTGCCCGAGACAAAGTTTCACATCTACGCCCAACGAATCACCACAAAGCAACCATGTCACCATCTCGGCCACCCAAGTGGACCATTTTGGATATGGGCGCATTCCAAAATTCAGATCAAAATTCAGATATGATTATTAATATTAATGATAATAACCCCTAGGGCTGTTCCCAATAGGATCTGCATATCCATAGGTTGGGCTCCCATGTCACAAGGCTGGAGAGAAGAGATCCAAGGCGCCGTCTACACTGCTCTATATCCCAGGATCTGATCCCAGGTTTTCTGTTTAACCCAGATTATTTGGCAGTGTGGACTCCTATAATCCAGTTCAATGCAAATCATCTGGGATTTTTTTTTTTAGTTGTGTCAGGAGCGACTTGAGAAACTGCAAGTCGCTTCTGATGTGAGAGAATTGGCCGTCTGCAAGGACGTTGCCCAGGGGAGGCTTCTCTCATGTCCCCGCATGAGGAGCTGGAGCTGATAGAGGGAGCTCATTCGCCACTGGGATGGGATACTGGGATATAGGGAAGTGTGGAAGGAGAGATAGTGTTACCCACTTATCCCAGATTATCTGGCAGTGGAAACTCATATAATCCAGTTCAAAGCAGATAATCTGGGATCAATCCTCGAATATAGTGGCAGTGTGGAAGGGGACATAGTGTTATCTGCTTATCCCAGATTATCTGGCAGTGGAGACTTCTATAATCCAATTCAAAGCTGATCATCTGGGATTGGATCCCGGGATATAGGGGAGTGTGAACAGGAACATAGTGTTACCCACTTATCCCAGATTATCTGGTAGTGGAAACGCCTATAATCTGGTTCAAAGCAGATAATCTGGGATCAGATCCTGGTTTATAGGGGCAGTGTGGAAGGGGACATAGTGTCACCCTCTTATCCCAGATTATCTGTCAGTGGAGACTCCTATAATCCAGTTCAACGCAGAACATCTGGGATCAGATCCTGGGATATAGTGGCAGTGTGAAAGGGGACATAGTGTTATCTGCTTATCCCACATTATCTGGTAGTGGTGACTCCTATAATCCGGTTCAAAGCAGATCATCTGGGAATTGGATCCTGGTTTATAGGGGCAGTGTGGAAGGGGACATGGTGTTATCCACTTATCCCAGATTATTTGGCAGTGGAGACTCCTATAATCCGGTTCAAAACAGATAATCCGGGATGAGATCCTGAGATATAGGGCAGTGTGGACGGGGACATAGTGTTACCCGCTTATCCCAGATTATCTGGCAGTGGAGAGTCCTATAATCCGGTTTAAAGCACATCATATGGGTTCAGATCCTGGGATATAGGGAAGTGTAACTCCAGGCTAAGGTCCCAGTGCTGATGCAAGCAACCTAGGGACTCCAAGAAACTGTGGGCAAGCATCAGTGTCCCCAAAGTGTCAAAGCCACCCAGGTTGGCCCCTCTCTATGGGGGGGGGGGAACCCCTTTGAACCCATGCAGCCCCTCTTCTCGGTCCCTAAGGAGAGAATGGGGGCAAGGGGGGCCCTTGGGGAGGCATCGAGTGCAGGAAGCCACGCTTGAGCTGGGACTTGAGGCCACAGGGGACCCCACAGGACCCCTCCCACGCTTCCTTCCCTTCGGCGTTTGCAAGGGCTGCCTCCCTCCCTCACTCACCTGCGATGAATTGCCGGCGGCTCTCGTCCAGGTGTGCCGAGAGGACGTCTCCCATGGCGGAGGAAGAGGCAGAGACCCAGGCGAGGAAGGAAGGAGGGAAGGAAGGAAGAGGCGAGGAGGGAAGAGTCTCTCTGGCTAGCGGAGAAGGGCAGGAGGCCAGGCCTGGCTGGGCTTGGCCATCAGCCGCTCACTGGCCAGGAGAAGGAACAAGCTGCTCGCCCAAAGAAGAGACCCCTCCTCCCTCCCTCTCTCTCTCTCTCTCTCTCTCTCTCAGCGCCTTGGAGCCGCCTCGCCCTCCCGCTTCCCTCCTCCTCCTCCTCCCCCTCCTCTCTCCCTCCCTTCTTTCCTTCCTCCTCTTCTCAGGGAGGAGACGCCTTTCTCGGAGGCTCACTTTCTCCTCCCCTTTTTGCAAATCCAGATTCCCCCTCCCCTCCCCTCCTTTGCCTTCTTCCTTTCCCGGCTTGGGTTCCAGGAAGGATTGAAGTTCCAAAGTTTATTTCTCTCTCCCCCCTCTCCCTCTCCCTCCCTCCATCTCCCCCTCTCTCTCTCCCTCCACTCTCCCTCCCTCTCTTTCTCTCTCCTCCCCTCCTCTCCCTCTCTCTCCCCCTTCCCTCCCCTCTCCCTCCCCTCTCCCTCTCCCTCCCCTCCTCCCTCTTTTCTCTCTCTCTCCCTCTTTCCCTCTCCCCCTCTCTCCCTCCCTTTCTTCTCTTCCTCTCCCTTTCCTCCCTCCCTCCTCTTTCCCTCCTCTTCCCTCTCCCCCTTTCCCTCCTCTCTCCCTCCTTCTCCCCCCTTCCCTCTTTCTCTCTCCTCCCTCCCTCTTCCCCCCCTCCCCTCTTTCTCTCTCCCTCCCTCCTCTCTTTCTCCCCCCTCTCCCCCCTCTCTCTCCATCTCTCTCCCTCTCTTTCTCCCTCCCTCCCTCTTTCCCCCCTCTCTCCATCTCCCTCTCTCTCCCTCCCGGCTCTCCCTCTCTCTACGTCTCCCTGTCTCCCTCTCTCTTTTTTTCTCTCTCTCCCTCCCCCTCTCACTCCCTCTCCCTACCCCTCCTTCCTCTCTCTCTTTCTCTCTCTCCCTCCATCTCTCCTCCCTCCCCCCCTTTCTCCCTCTCCCACATCTCCCTCCCCTCCCTCCCTCCCTCTTTTTCTCTCTCTCCCTCTCTCTCCCCCCTTTCTCCCTCTCCCTTTCCCTCCCACACCCTCCCTCTCTCCCTACTCCTCCCTCTCTTTCCCTCCCTCCCCCTCCCCTTCCCTCTTTCTCTCTCCCTACCTCTCCCTACCCCACCCTCTCCCCCTCTCTCTCTCTCTCCCTCCCTCCCCCCGCTCTCCCTCTCTCTATGTCCCCCTATGTCTCCCTCCCTCTCTCTCCTCCCTCTCTCCCCTCCCCCTCTCCCACCCCCCTCCCTCCCTCTCTCTACCTCCCCTCTCCCTCCCTCCCCCCCTCTCTCCCCATCAAACTACAAGAAAGGAGATTCCATTTGAACATTAGGAAGAACTTCCTAACTGTGAGAGTTGTTCAGCAGTGTAACTCTCTGCCCCGGCATGTGGTGGAGGCTCCTTCTTTGGAGGCTTTTAAACAGAGGCTAGATGGCCATCTGTCGGGAGTGCTTTGAATGTGATTTTGCTACTTCTTGGCAGTATGGGGTTGGACTGGATGGCCCACAAGGTCTCTTCCAACTCTAGGATTCTATGATTCTATCTATCTATTACACACTTTGTGTTGTCCAAGGCTTTCATGGCCGGAATCACTGAGTTGCTGTGAGTTTTCCGGTCTGTCTGGCCATGCGCCAGAAGCATTCTCTCCTGATGTTTTGCCCACATCTATGGCAGGCATGGCAGAGGTTGTGAGGTCTGTTGGATCTACTTACATTTGCATGTTTTCGAACTGCTAGGTTGGCAGAAGCTGGGGTTAAAAGTGGGAGCTCACGCCGCTCCCCAGATTCGAACCTGTGACCTTTCGATCAGCATGTTCAGCAGCTCAGCAGTTTAACCCGCTGCACCACCAGGGGGCCTAGAGTGTAGATGACCCTAAATTATTTAACCAAGACGCATCTTGGATGCTGATGCTCAATGCCTCATAGGGTAAACATGGCTCTTCTTTGCGACTTGCAGCGTTCTCTGGCACAGCCATAAGAAGGGCCTTTGCAGCTCTGCCCCCCTCCGTGGCTGATGCTGGCAATGCCTTCTTGGCACTGGCTTGGCTTCGGTTGTGATTTTGAGAGACGCCCATCCCAGCCCGCCTGGAGTCATTCTCTCCGTGAAACCTGTAGTGCCAGCTCGGTTTTGTCCCTGCCTAATCTCCAGGTGTGTCTTGCTGAGATCGGATATAGAACAGAAAGCAAAAAAGAGGTAGGCGGATGGGAACCAAAGCCCCAGCGAAGATCTGAGGGAAGGTGGAGGAGGATTTGGGGATGGAAGTGCAGAGAGATTTCTGGCAGCCTTACAGATCTATCTTTTCCTCATTTGCCTCATTTCCAATACACCTCACAACCTCTGAGGATGCCTGCCATAGATGTGGGTGAAACGTCAGGAGAGAATGCTTCTGGAACATGGCCAGACAGCCTGGAAGACTCACAACAACCCAGTGATTCCAGCCATGAAAGCCTTCGACAATTCCATCTTCTCCGTCTGCCCAGGACAACAATCTGAAAGCTGTGTTTGCTTTTCACATCCATATAAGCAATTTTTTTTTGTCGAGTCAGGAGCGACTTGAGAAACTGCAAGTCGCTTGTGGTGTGAGAGAATTGGCCGTCTGCAAGGACGTTGCCCAGGGGACGCCCGGATGATTTTTGATGTTTTTATCATCAGGCTTCTCTCATGTCCCTTCTTGGGGAGCTGGGGCTGACAGAAGGAGCTCATCCGCCTCTCCTCGGATTTGAACCTGCGACCTGTCGGTCTTCAGTCCTGCTGGCACAGGGGTTTAACCCACTGTGCCACCAAGGGCTCCTATATAAGCAATAAGCACACATATCTTACATATTAACTTGTGAATTCCTCTCTTCTTTCTCCAAATATTTCCATTATGAAGAAGGTAGTGCAGATAAATGGTGATGTCCCATTTGCAGCAAACTAGAGATGGGTTGGGTGGCATGTACGAGGGGCATTCATTCAAGATGTCCCCTGACCCACTTCTATTTATCACAGGATGCTGAAACTGCACATGTGTCATGATATCAGTCTCTATATGTTACATCCTGATTTATAACTCAGAACTGATAACGGTCTTGATTTTACAGGTGCTGAAGTGGTGTGAGGTTTGAGAATGGACCCAGTGGAATACAGAGCAGTCCTCAAGTTCCTTTACTCGAAAGTCCGCACACCAAAGGAGACGTTCGATGAGATGAAAGAGGATTATGGTGATGATTCCTCATCATATGATGGAGTCAAGAACTGGCATCGTCCATTCCAATGTGGTTGGACTTTGGTGGAAACATCTCCCATTCCAGGGTGACCCCTCTCTACTAATGATGAACACACCATCCAGCAAGTGGAGGGCACCATTTTAGAAAATCACCACGTAACCATTCTCCACCTAGCCCAAAATGTCAAGATGAGTGTGCGGTCCGTGGAAAAAATCACCCAAGACCATCTTCTCATGCATAAGGTATCCGCTTGCTGGGTCCTCCAGCTGCTCACACCTTTCCGGAAGCAGGAATGAGTCAAATACTCTCAGGATCTCTTGACAATAATGTGCCATGGAAACCAGGAGGACTTTGTCAACAGACTGATCACACAGGAGGAAAGCTGGATCCATCACTCTGATCCTAAGACTAAAGTCCAGTCAACACAATGGAAGCATCCTGACTCACCACCTCCAAAGAAGGCACGTGCCCAACTCTCGGAAGGCAAGGTCATGCTCACAGTATTTTGGGACCAGCACGGAGGAGGATGGATGGATTTCCTAGCAAAGGGGACCCTGATCACTGGGGCAGACTAGGCTTCACTGCTGTGGACATTGTGGGAGGCCATCCAACCAAGAAACAATGTGGCATGCTCATCAAAAGTGGCCTCTTTGTCAATAGACTGATCACACAGGAGGAAAGCTGGATCCATCACTCTGATCCTAAGACTAAAGTCCAGTCAACACAATGGAAGCATCCTGACTCACTTCCTCCAAAGAAGGCACGTGTCCAACTCTGATACTCAACCGTATTTTGGGACCAGCATGGAGTAGTATTGATGGATTTCCTAGCAAAGGGGAGCATGATCACTGGGGCAGACTAGGCTTCATTGCTCCAGAGATTGTGGAAGACCATCCAAACCAAGAGACATGGCTTGCTCACCAAAGGTGTCCGCCTTCTGCAAGACAATGCACGCATTCACAATTCACCTGTTGCCCAAATGGAAGAAGCATGCTCCTGTGTCGTTGCAATTCTACCACATGCCCCTTATTCACCCGGCCTCGCACCATTGGACTTCCACCTCTTTCCAACAAGGTCAAGCATTGTTTTTTGAAGGGTAAGCATTTTTCAGACGAGGAGACTCTAATTTCCAGAGTCACAACGTGACTTTTAGAGCAACCTGTCGACTTCTACAAGCGAGGTGTTTACAGTAGCATCAAAAGATGGGAGAAGTGTGTGTCCCTAGATTGTGGCACCGATGGAGAGAAGGACTCAGAACTGGGCCAAGTTGCATTGCTCTCAGTCCACAGCAAGTGGGTTAGGGGAAATCTATAATGAACACCCCTCATAGTGAACCTTGAGGCTGCTCTTGCCCACTCTTAAGAGGGTTTTTTTTCCGTGTCAGGAGCAACTTGAGAAACTGCAAGTCGCTTCTGGTGTGAGAGAATTGGCCGTCTGCAAGGACGTTGCCCAGGGGACATTGCCTGGATGTTTTTGATGTTTTACCATCGTTGTGGGAGGCTTCTCTCATATTCCCGCATGGAGAGCTGCAGCTGACAGAGGGAGCTCATCCAAACTCTCCCTGGATTCGAACCTGCGACCTGTTGGTCTTCAGTCCTGCTGGCACAAGGGTTCAAGCCACTGCACCACCGGGGACTCAGGGGAAATCTTTAACACCCCTCATAGTGCTGGGCCTCAAGGCTGCCCTTGCCCGCTCTTACGAGTCATCTATAGTATATTATAATATATTATAATGTTTGTTG